TGGAACGGAGCTGTGGTGGCCGTGGTTGTTATAGTCAATTGGAGGAGTGCTACGAGAGGCGTTACTCTACGAAGACTGCGGTCTAGCCAAGTAACAGGAAGTGGATGGCGAGGGCTCTCGGAGCGTACTGGATGACTGAGGAGTGAGGACGACTAAGTGTGGAGCGTCGGTGTGGACCCGTGCCTATGCCGAGCGCCAAAACCGCGAGTCCGGTGCCGGAGGCAAGGACTCCTGGAAAGTGTTCCGGCTACACCTATAGTGGAGAAGGATTGCGCTGTGCGATCGGCGCCTGATAAACGGGAGCTCTTTGCTCTACAAGATGCTGAGAGAGGTAGCTGCAAGTAGCTCAGTCGTGATTTTTCCTTCTAACAAGAACACAAGAATACATCAACTTTACTTTCTTTAGAGCTACGCTTACTCGACTTCCTACGTTGGCCCAAGATACACGACCCCGATTATAGAGGAAGGCGACGACAACGCCAAAACCTTTTGAGTTTTGTCCTTTTGTCGGGGTTCGTGACGATAGTTGCCAGAAGACTTGCGTGTTGTCCAGCACCAAATAATTGTCTCAGTACCATCTTGTTTTGGAATACACGTGCAAGATACGCGTGTATTGAATACCAGCAGATTTCATTGGCACGCTCAGACTTTCGCGGTTTTGATTTGACATATCTCGGAGCAAGGTCTTAAACTGATCAAATCATGTGTGCTGATCACGAACATAACGGGTAATTTCAAGCAGGTCTGTCCTGACATCTTTCACGATCGGAAGATTGTAAATATCTTCCAGCTGGAGGGTTAGTAGATGTGCTGCACAGCCACCACCGAAATCGACCTAGAAAGCTCCACTATTTCCACTGATTTCGTCACATTACCGGCGTTATCACCAGCTACAATACCTCAGCGGCACTTTGACTTCATTGACGGTCTGTCCAAGATGGTAGGCCATTTACTCTCCAGTATGATGATCAATATCAGACGCCAGTGAGGACCAGAACAAAGATGGCATCCCTGGAACTGTAACGGGGTTACACGCAAGTGGCTACATGTAGCCACTTGATTACGACAATGGGTTTCACATTGGTGTGAGATACACCAATGGTTACATTTGACAGACCACT